GTCGGACAGTGCTCTCTCCTCTCTTAGATAAGCTACAAGGTCCTAAATATGTCATTGAAAAATACACACATATTATAGATCAGTTCAGTCTCAGTTGGTGCAATCAGAAAGAGTGGTTTTGCTCTGCAGGCATGTTTAATAAACCAGGTGACAGAATTTTGTCAGCGAGACAAATATTATGTTTTCTTAGTTAAGTTCACGTAAATTCAGTATTAATTTAATGGAAAGTTGTAAACAACTCTCCCTTGCTTTCTTCTTGATCACTAACCTCCATCAGGGCAGTGTCCTTCAGCTTCTTTCTCCCCCTCTCTTCCTGTGTTTAGTAATACTTTATGTTATTATTAAATACAGATTTATAAGAACTCAAAGAAATAATGAGAGATCAATCATATTATTTTAAACATATATATATGTATATATATATATATATATATATATATGGTAAAAATCTTCTCATTTGACTGGCCTTTGATGGAGCTACCACCTCTTAATTTCCATCTACAGGTTGAGGAATCGAGGGACACAAAATTGCTTAATGATCAACACTATATGACCTTTTCACTGACATTCAGTTACTGTAAACAATAAAATATGGCAAACACTGGTGTCATTGTTTCTAAATACTGAAAAGAAATTACTTGTGTCACTCATTCACACTCTCACCCGATATCCAGCTATACTGACCATAATTTAACACAAATCCATATTGTAGTTGGGAATCTTCACTTTGTCACTACATAGTTTCACTTTGTATGTTGTAGATTTTGAATAAGGTCTAATGTTAATTTTAGTGAGATTTTAGCCAAAATCCTATCTTCATAGACCCTCCTCCAGGTGTATTATGATTTGCTTAGAACTTATGAGGTGTAATATAATTGGCCAATCTGAGGGTTCCACCTTTCATGATAGCAGAGCAGAAGCAGTGCCTCCCCCAGGCAGAGGCACTTGAGTACGGTTTTCTCTGTAACAGTACTTTTGGAGTAGAATTAAATCAAAGTACTTTTACTTGAGTCAATTTTTAATTAAATACTTTTACTTCGCTACTTTAATTTTCATAATGTTACAGAGTAAAAATTAATTATGACCATATCAGCGCAGAAACTAATACGAACAAAGCACGGTTAAATTTAAAAGATTCACCAATCAAAAAACAGCAGCTCCGGCAGGAAAAACACTACAGAGATGTCCAGTGTAGTGGAGAAGGACAGAGGAGGACTTAACCAGCACACACAAGGAACAGACCCCATCCAAACGGTTATCTTTGTTATCTTTATCTTTGTTATCCGCTTTCACAACTCAACTCCAGCCTGAGGCAGTGTTAGCCGAGCTAGCTGATCCGAGCTAAACAGGTACAGGTACTGTGTTTACGGTTCTCTTCTTACTTTTATAATGCTTAGCCCAATGTTAGTACAGATAGCTCCAGTGTTGATATAATTACAAAACCCCACAATTAGGTTACTTCCAGTAATCATTTCATGTAACTGATTACTTCTTTCAGAATGTGATTTGTGTTATATTATGTTATGTTATGTTACATGTTATATTACACTTTCCTGGACAATAAAATAAGTAATAAAGTAAGTAATAAAGTAATCTCTCTACTTGTTACTTCTACATTACTCATCTACTATTCTTCTACATTGATTAAGCATATTTCTTAGAATAAACAAAATTATCTGCCAATATATAGTCAGATAATTTAAGGTAATGATATTACTTAAGTAAAAACATGTCTAGAAATAAATTAAATAATCTTATAATACTAATACATCTCAAAATGAGAAGTATTAGATATGTAGACTACATTTAAGATGAGAGATCTTTCTAGAGATAATTTTCTACAGTGTAGACGGCTGCACTGCTCAGGTTCACAGACCGTCAATTAATTTAAAAATGTGCAGAATGTGCAGTTTTGGCGATTCTCTGCTGCACTGTACCCACCAGAGAATGTGTGTTAAAATCTAACCCAGTTAGTGCATCTTCTGTGCTGATCTTGATACTAAGGTTCATGCTTGTTCTGTCTGTCTGAGACTGGTTCCCCTCTTTGAACCTTTGGTTAAAGTTCTCACAGGGCTGGATTTTTATTTATAAACATTCAGTTTATTTGTAGTTGTAGGTCACTGAGGCCCAACATCCTAAATGTACTTTGTCTAATTTAATAATGGGGCAAGCAAAACTGGCAGTTTGGAAGTCCTTCAGCTTTATGTGTGAAGTGCATTCTTTCTTTCTTTTTTTTTCTTTCTTTCTTTGTTTCCTCTTGTTATTGTTTTTTGAAAAATATATGCCCATTTTGAATTTGATGGCAGCAACGCATTTCAAAAAAGTTCAAGGGCATGTTTACCACTGTGTTTTATCACCTCTTCTTTTAACAACATTCTGTAAGCGTTTGGGAACTGAGGAGACCAATTACTGTAGTTTTGAAAATGAAATGTTTTTCCAATCTTGCTTGATACAGGATTTCAGCTGCTCAGCACTTCAGGGTTTCCTTTGTCATATTTTTTGTTTCATGAAGCACCAAATGTTTTTAGTGGGTGACTGGTCTAGACCACAGACAGGCCGGTTTAGCACTATAGTATGTGCAGAATGTGGTTTGGCATTGTCATACAGAAATAAGTGAGGCCCTCCCTCAAAGAGACATGATTTGGAATGCAGCTTATTTTGCTCCAAAACCTGCATATCGCTGTTGTCGGAAGAAAACCTTGTATCTCCATTTTTGAGGTTTTTCAGTTTTTGACATAATTTGAAAATAACCATGGTTGTATATATTGTATGTAAATTCCATGATAAATGGACCAACAGAAATGACCTGAAATGACTTAGAAAAAAGTCTGGTTCCATTGAGTTACATTAAAAGTAAAGTAGGTTTTTTCCTTCTCCTGTAAAGTTACCATTTTGGAGATGGGGTTTTCTTCCAACAACAGCGATATATCATTCAGCATTAATGGTGTCTTCAGAGATGTGCTAGTCCATGCCATGTGCACTAATGTACCCCATAGCATCATGGATGTTGCCTTTTGAACTGGGTGCTGATAACAAGGCAGATGGTCCCTCTCCTCCTTAGCCTGGAGGACCATGTCCATGATTTCCAAAAAGAATTTCAAATTTTGATTTGTTGGCGCACAGGACACTTTTCCACTTCACCTTAGTCCATGTTAAATGAGCTTGGACCCAGAGAAGGCAATGGTGTTTCTGGATCCTGTTTATATATGGTCTGTTCCTTTGCATGGTAGAGTTTTGACTTGCATTTGCAGATGCAACAATGAACTGTGTTCATAGACAGTTGTTTTCATAATTGTTCTTGAGCTCATACAGTGATTTCTTCTACAGAGTCGTTGCGTATTTTTTAATACCCAATCATATTACTGAGCTGTTGCCAATTAACCCACCCGCTTGTCAAAATAGAGATATATTTTTCAAAAAAACAAATTTCTCAGTTTCAACATTTGAAATGTTGCCTTTGTACTATTTACAATTAATTGGGTGTAAATGATTTGCACATCATTGCATTCTGTTTTTATTTAGGTTTTGCACATGCTTCCAACTATTTTGGAAATGGGGTTGTATGATGTGAAGTGGTAGGAGTCAGTAGATTTGGGAGTGTAGAAGGAGTTGCCCTCTGCCTCTCAGGCAGCGACATGTTTAGCAGTAAGAGGAGCTGTGTGCCAGTCTCAAGAACTTGTGTTAGTTCATCAGCTGTTTGTGAAAATTTCTTGAGTTGATTTGAATTTTCTCCTTGTTGAGTTCAAATGTCATACAGTGACCCCACATTCTTTCCTCTCTTGTCAGCCAGGACTTTTCATGTCTGACCTTTTCTACAGCCATACTGTGGTCACCGAGCTTGTACTTGGTCAGGACCTGTTTTGTTTTTCTCTGACAGCCAGGAGATAATCTTTCAATTCATAATCTGTTTTTTAGCACCATAAGGCATTCAAGTCTACTTTCAGTTTTAATTTCTTTTTTAAAATGTTCCAATCAGTTTGATGAGCTGATTAGTGTTTAACTAATGATGTTTTGTTGAGGCTGTAAAGCAGTGCTGGAGTGAGGCTGCTGTGTGTTACTGTTATAGGGTTAATAATCATCAGAACCAGCAAACTGAATAAACTCATTTCAGGGTTCAGTTCTTGGCTCTGAAGCAGTGTTTCTCTGGGACTTGTCTTCAAGTGCACTCAAAAATATAGGAAACTTTTTGTATGTTTACTAACAGAGAAAATTGGCATAATTCCACTCTGCCTGCATTAGTTGGTGTTTTTCATAAATTTTTGTTAAGATTATACAGATTATGAGTTCTTGGCTCCAGATGTAAGGGATAATTTGAGCGTTGTCCTCTGCTGCTCAGGGGCATTGATCATTCCATTTCTGATGCTGTCAGGGCCACAAGCTTTTTTTTTGGATTTTAAAGATTTGAGTTTTTGAGCCAAGTAGAACTCAAGTTATTCCACATTCCCAGATTCTATATTATAAAATCTTCAAAGATTCAATGAGTTTTATTTTTAAAGTTTGTTTTTTCAGTTACACTGAAATAAACTGTCCAATAAGTTGGACTTAGTTTATATTGCTTTATTGCTTCACAGTCCTTCACAGTTTCATTTAAATGTTGAAGGTAGCAGCTTTTTGATCTGAATTCGGTTCATTTCCATTCAGTTCATGCTGATTATTGGCAAGACAATGCTGAATTTGTATTACTGTGAGTTATATAGTTTGACAGTTTTAAAAGAAATGGTTTTTGTTGGTTTGGTAAAAAAACATAAAAGCAAATAAATAACTGTTAAGCTTAAAACATTAAAACTTCAATATCTCTCTCTTTCTCTCTGTCCCACACACACACATACACACACACTCTCTCTCTCTCTCTCCCACACACACACACACACACACACACACACACACAGGCCTTTATGTTTATGATTTGAAGTGACTGAATAAAAGTCTCTGTTCAAAATTAAAAAAAATCTCTCTCTCTCTCTCTCTCTCTCTCTCTCTCTCTCTCTCTCTCTCTATACCTGAGTGTGTGAAGTGTACAGAGTGGATCAGAAAGCAGTTTCACTCCGGATTCTCCTGGGTGATTGTAGGTCAGATCCAGTTTTTTCAGTTTGGAAGGGTTTGATTTAAGAGCTGAAGCCAGAGAAGAACAGCCTTCCTCTGTTACTAAACAACCAGATAACCTACAGAAAAGAGGGAAAAACAGAGAGATAAATAAAAGAATAGAGAAGTCTATACATAAAACAGCTGTATTTCTGTCATTTTAGTGCATAAACTACAAGCACCTTCACATTCTGTGAAATATACAATGTGTATATTTATTATAACATATTAAACAGAATGAAACAGCTTTACATACCTAATAACAACATGTGCAGAGTCAGATTGTTTCAGATATGATTCTGAGTTTTAAAAATGTTTAAATAAAAGATCTACAGACTGAATTCAGGAGCTGCTGACAGTTCCAACTGCACCACTGACACATTAATGTAAATACTGAACAGTGTTATGCTGCTCTGTCTCACTTCTCTTTTTTAAGTAAGGAATTCTGTTTCTCGCAAACTCTTACCCCACACTTGTTTCCTAAATACACTGGTTTGATAAAATGAGTTTTACCCCTACACTGCCCGGAAGATGTTTGTAGTGAAGTCCCTCATGCCAAATAGAATCAGATGCCTCCTTGAAATCTACAAAACAGGTGAGAACTTTTCATTTTTTAATTGATGTATGTGTCCAATAATTGGGGTTTGTAGGTTGTCGATGTGGTCCGTTGTTCTGTGACTTGGAAAAAAACGAATCTGACTCTTTTCTCAGGAAACTGTGTTCACTAACACAATGTTAAGAAATAAGACATAGGAAAGTCATGTGAGTGCACATGCAACATATTGTTCCCATCTTGTTCTGATATATAAGCGTACATGAGCAGTAGCAAAGAGGAAAGCTACATGTTGGCTTCTCTCCCATGAGCATTGTCCAGTGTACCTTGCTGAATTACTAATATTATCACATCAGCAGTGTTTGGATGCATCAGTGGTGAGTTTTGTTTCTTGCAAATGATACTTATAATTTGATGTACTTCAGTGATAAACAAATTTGGCATTGAAGTCACTGGAAAACCTTTAGCTTTATCAACAGAGCCATAAATGAAACTTTTAAAAGCTGCATGAGAACAAGAAGTGTACTGTGGAGTCATCCATAGCAAATGTGCATAACTACACAAGCAGCCTGGCTTTAGGGTGCCACTATGGATGGTTCAAAGGGTCAAAATAAATGAGAGGCATTATTAATTTATCATGTTAATGAGTTATCATTGTGTTAACTTTGACACCAACAATACTTGCATAATACATAATAGGTATGTAATTGTCACATGATTTACATTCTGGTTTTAGTCCACATTTCTGACTTTGTTCTGTTTTTTTTTTTTTCAATGTCAAAAATGCAAAACACACAAAAAAACAAAATGTAAGGGTTTTTTTCAGTCTGCAAAATAAAACTGTACACACATAAATAACTTTGTAAATTCAAATGTAAATCATAATAAAATATATGCAAACAGAATTCTGGAGTAAACTGAATTTATTTAATGCTGGTGATCACTGATTTCTAAGGATTAATTAAGTATTTCAATAATTGATTAAAATCTTTGAAAGCATGAGAAAGGAACACTGAGAGGAAAAGTGAAAGTCTGTATGAAAGCACCAGTGGTTCCAAACTTGCATCCCTCATATTCCTATATAAAAGTACTGTCACGCTTCCTGGTTCTCATTCGGACTCCCAGACCACCAAGAACTCCACTTCCCAGAATCCTTCAGTCAGTCACGAGACTCTGCCAACCAATCACCAACCACCTAACAGATCACAGTCACCGGAATACTAATCATCATCACCTGTTGCACTCTGTATTTATACCGGTTTGTTTGAAACGTATCTTTGCGAAGTATTGCCCTTACCTAGTCTGTGCATACCGAGCCGTTTGTTTTTCTGATTGCTACTCCGTGTTTGACCTCGCTTGTTTTTTCGTTTTTGATTCTCGTCTCTGTCTTGGCTTTGTTGTTTTGGTTTTTGTGCTATTTCTGGTTACGACTCTCGCCTGTTTTTTCGACTTCGCTTTCGCCTATGCCCATGTATTTCGTCTGCTTATTCTGGTTATTGGCCTGGTCTGGTGTTAACCCTGTTTACTCCCGTCAGAATAAATCTTCCGGATTAACTTTTATCCGCGTGTGTCTGGTTTACAAACCCTGCGTTACAAGTACAGAAAGCTATAACTCTCTTCTTTCATAGATAGCAGTTAAAATCATTCATTTATAGATGTTAGATGTTTTATTATGTTTTATCTATTAATAATAGTTGTTTATTAATGTGTTAGTTAATGCAACTCAACATTAGGACAGTAAGAACTAAACACTAATGAACAATTTATCTAAATCTATAAGAATGTAAAGTCTAAATATTATACACATATATATAAAAAATGTATAGTAGAACAAAGAATTAGAATTAAAATTTATTAGAATTAACTCATGTAGCCATTAACTAAAATCTCATGTAAACATTTAGTAATGTGTTAAATATTAATTAAAGTAACAACTAAAATACTTGTGTAACGGTGGAGGCAAGGAGGTGGGATGCAAATGCAAGTTGCTTTTATTGAAATTAGAGTCCAGAGTAGCAGAGGTTTGAAGAACGAATCAGTCCATGACAAAAACCAAACTACAAGAAGAAAGCAAACAAGAGACAAGGAAACATCCGCAAGAACATCCACAATGCAAGACAGAGACTGAACAAACACAGGGGTATAAATACACAGAGGGGAAATGAGAAACACCTGTGACTAATGAGGGGTGGAGCAGATAACAAGGGGCAGGACCAGGGAGGAGACACAGAACAACAAAAGCACATGGTACAAGAAAACAAAAAGGCACATGGCTACCATAGAGGGGACGAAAGACACACTGAGAGGGACAAAGGGAGAATCCGTGACAGAACCCCCCTCCTAACGCGCAGCTCCTGAAGTGCGAAAAACAAAGGCCATCCAAAGCGGGAGCCAGGTAGGAGGAGGGACCAGAAAAACATATGAACATAAACATTAAACTATACAGGGGACAGGACACCAGACCGGGATCATACACTAAACTGTGCAAGGGACTGGACAAGGGACAACGACAAAACAGACAGGAAACTAGACAGAGGAATGCATGGGAAACTGGATAGGGGAATGGACAGGAAACTTCTGAAATGACAGGACATGAGACAGGACAAATGGTTGAATGCGAGACTGGACAGTAGACTGAACATGGGACTGGACAGATGATGGGATGAAGGAAGAGACAGATGAGACATAAGTGGAAAGAGACAGAAAAAAGGGCTGGACAGGAGATGGAACACGCAACTGGATAGGACCTGACAGGGACAAGACTGGAAATAAAAGTGGAGAGAGAACAGGAGACTGGAGCAGAGAAACAGGGTACTGGAGGGAAGTCTGGACAGAGGAACAGACAGTGGGCTGGACAGAGGAACAGACAGTGGGCTGGACAAGAGACTGCGTAGGAGGCTGGAAAGATGGCAGAACAGGAGATGGAGTTAACATAGACATGGGGACAGGAACAGACATGGTTACTGGGACAGGAACAGAAACACGGACAGGAATGGGTACAATAAGACCAAACACAGAAACAGGAACACTGAGACGGGTACAGATATATACATGGTTACAGGGACAAAAACAAAACTATGGACTGGAGACTGGACAGACTTGGGGGAAAACACAGAATTAAGAAGTTCATGCAGGTGAAGGAACAGGGTGGCAGACTGAGTGGGGAACTGGAAAAGCAAGGAGAATGGTACTTGAGCAGGGAGCTGGGTAAATGTTGCAGGAGCAGGATGCCTGGAAGGCCGGCACTGGAGCAGAACGCTGTGAGGCAGTTACTGGACGCTGAAAGGTAGGCATAGGAGGGGGTTGCTTGGGGGGGTCGGCGGTGGAGCCTGATGCTGAGAGGCCGGCGCCAAACCAGGACAGGAAGTGACAAAAGGGGTATCCCAGGGTGCAGGAGCAGAAACTGGAGCATCCCAGGGGGTAAAGGAGCAGGAGTGGCCCAGGAAGCAGGAACTGGGACTGGCGACTCTGAGGCCACGGGCAGGTCTGGAGACATCGAGGCAACCAGCAGGTCAGGGAACTCATAAGTGATGTCCCCGGCTGCAGGCTGGGCCGCAGCGACATCCATGGCTGCTGGCTGAGCTGAGAGCAAGGAAGTTTTTTCTCCTTACCAGGGAACAACAACTGAAGCCGACGAAGCAGATGGTAACTCTCCTGAAGTCCGACCTTATTCTCATAAATAAGTTCATGCAAACTTGCTGCTTCCCTGTGTGGTCTTGCATTCTGTAACGGTGGAGGCAAGGAGGTGGGATGCAAATGCGAGTTGCTTTTATTGAAATTAGTGCAGAGTCCAGAGTAGCATAGGTTTGAAGAACGGATGAGTCCATGACAAAAACCAAACTACAAGAAGAAAGCAAACAAGAGACAAGGAAACATCCGCAAGAACATCCGCAAGAACATCTGCAAGAACATCCGCAATACAAGACAGAGACTGAACAAACACAGGGGTATAAATACACAGAGGGGAAATGAGAAACACCTGTGACTAATGAGGGGCGGAGCACAGGCAGGTGGAACAGATAACAAGGGGCAGAACCAGGGAGGAGACACAGAACAACAACAAAAGCACATGGTACAAGAAAACAAAAGGCACTTGGCTACCATAGAGGGGACGAAAGACACACTGAGAGGGACAAAGGGAGAATCCGTGACAACTTGATAAAGATGGCAGACTGTCTGATAACTGTATAATTTAGTGGCCGCCTAAACTACTCCTGAAGTTTTCCTGCCCTGCAGGTTTGGGTGTTTCACTGTTCCAACTAATCAGGGTCCAGTTTCCCAAAAACATCTTAGTGTTAAAATCATCTTAACTGGTAGAGAGAGAGTTCACTGGAACTAAGAGTTCTTCACTGTAAGTAAGGGGTCTAGGCCAACCCCTGAAAAACAACCCCATAGCATTATCCCTCCTCCACCAAACCTTACAGTTGGCACAATGCAGTCAGGCAGGTAATGTCCTCCTGGCATTCGCCAAACCCAGACTCATCCATCAGACTGCCAGATAGAGAAGTGTGATTTGTCACTCCACAGAATACGTTTCCACTGCTCCAGAGTCCAGTAGCAGCGTGCTTTACACCACTCCACCCGACACTTGGCATTGTGCATTCTGATCTTACGCTTGTGTGTAGCTGCTCAGCCATGGAAATCCATTTCGTGAAGCTCCTAATGTGCAGTTGTTTTGCTGATGTTGCTTCCAGAGGCAATTTGGAACTCTTTAGTCAGTGATTCAACAGAGGATAGGTGGTGTGCTCTTCAGCACTCACTGGCCTCACTCTGTGAGTTTTCATGGTCTACCACTTTGTGGCTGAGCTGTTGTTGCTCCTAGGTGCTTATAGTAATATCGCTTACAGTTGAAATGGCAGATCTGGCAGAATAGAAATTTCACAAACAGATGTGTGGCAGAGGTAGCATCCTATGACAGTGCCACGTTTAAAGTCACTAAGCTCATATATTATATATAATAATATTAATAATATATTGAATTAATCCATTAATGGCCAGGGCCCACCAGCAGGCCCAAAGTTTTATTACACACACTTCTATAACCTAAGAACAGCTCAGCCAGTTTGCACTGAAGTCTCTGTAGTTACTGAACAGTAAGGCTTAGTATATAATAAACCTGCCTTTTTTAGGGGTTAAGGCAAAATGTCTGGAATTTTAAGAGGTTAAGATTGATAAATATATATGGTATCAAGGAATTGATTTTTATATACAATGTAACATAACATTTCTAAAAACAACACTGATATGTTGCTGAGGTTTTTATTAATGTTAACAATGTTTTAGGTAACGGTTATGTAATGATTTTATTCTAATCTTTGTCCTAATATTATTGTTGTGAATGATATAATACATTAATTAGAATAATCAAAGCTATTAATTAAAACATTATTTGGCATTATCATAAACTTTAATAAATTGTTCATTAGTGTTTCATTCTTACTGTCCCAATTGTTGAATAACATTAATAAACTACTCAATAAAATCTAAAATAATGTTCTTTATTTCTATCACTAGTTATTTCATTATTTATTGTGACTTCATTTTACTGTTTAGTAATGCTTATAATCTCTAAAATACCATACATTTGTGTACTCTTATTGTACAGTGTTACCAGTTTAAGACTGTTAGTCCAGTTCACTAGAATGCTCATCTTGTGTTTTGATATATATAGAGGAACATCAGAGAAGCACTGAATTTAACAGCTAAAATCTTTCCATTCAGGAATGAAGGTTTACCTGAGTATCTCCAGTTTAAAGTAAGGGCTTTTCAGTCCATCAGAGAGCTTGTCCATGCCTGAGTCCTTTAGGTCATTTATACTAAGGTCCAGTTCTCTCAGAAAGGAGTTTTCAAATTTTAAAGCTGATCCCAGATTTTCACAAGATGTTTCCCCCAAATTACAAAGACCTAGTCTGGAAAGGGAGAGGAAATACAACGCATTTAACCAAATACTTAATATTTTACCAGTACTTAATTAACTAAGAAAAAAAATAATTTTGATAATTTATAATTTATATCACTGTTTAGACAACACCATTGATTGCTTCTATTTTATGTTATTAAGGTAGTTACAGAAAATTACAAAAGAAAAAAATTAAGTTTAGCCAGAAGAAATAGCATTAGACAAAAAGGAGACATGCAGTACTTCTGACCCAAATAAAAATATAATAATTACTTTTGGCATTAAAAAATAACTACACCCCACTATTTTCAGCTAACTCCACACCTAGCTCAATTTTGAAAAATGCTCAAAAATGGGAGGGGCATGTTGGGAGAGGAGCTGCAAAAATCTACGAGAATATATGGAGAGTGACAGAATCAAACAGCACTTTCGCAACTGAGAGGTCTTACAAGGTTGAAGACTTTTCTCTATTACTATCCCCATCTACGATGAGGGAAGGTGTTTCTGATCAGGCAGTGCGTCTTGAGCCTTAACAGAATGAGCCACCGACTCAAGCTGCCGAAGAGTTAACATCGTGCCAGAAAATTATTAGCAGCGAGTAGGAGAGGAGTCAGAACGGTAGAACATTCCCTAAAACCATGACAGCTAGCTTGTAATTATCTGTTCAGCAGGTACATATTCGATATAACCCAAGTCCTGATTTCTTAGATGTACTGAATTCTGAATGAATAAAGTGGATTTCTTTAAACAACGTCTAAGTTTCATTCAGTTTGACATCAAGCTATGAAAAACATATTTCGATTATTTACAGTGCATATGTGGTGAAAATATGGTTTAAATTGGTTTACCAAACAAAACATTGCAGCAAACTCACATCAAATAGGCACAGTCTTACAGCTTCATGGCCAAATACTAAACACTTAAATGATTTTCAATTGTATTTTCATACAAAATTAGCAAAGATTATTAAATGACTGTTGCAATGAACTCATAAATAGCCAATACATGTATCACTAACTTATGCTATTTTCAGACAAAAACTTTTTAGCAGCAAGATAAAATATTTTAACAGAGAACAAAATATCATAATGATGAAATGTTTCCTTTCAGCACATGTAGAGAAAATTTCCCTGCTTTGAAGAAAACTTTATTATGACCTGCCAAGTATGCCTCAAAACCTGTGTAAATATCCATTTTTACAAGTCAAATATTTTGTATTATTGTTCTTTTTTAAATTATAAGCTGTTTCTTATGTTCTGCGATAAGGCCCTGTCAGCTAATTTAGAGAATGGGCAGCAAAACTTTTCATCTTATATAGCAAACAGAAAAAAAATGCATAATTAATATGCACTAGCAGAACATGCTGTGATCAGTCTCAGGCCTCAGACTTTTCTCCTTTGCTAATTGTGTCAAGATTTGTCTTTGTTTACATTTTATTGATATTTAATTTGATACATTTGATATGATACAGCCAGGTCATATTTTCAAATGGTGATACTATTATTATAGTTTTCGATAATCTGATTTAACTATTAAGGAGGAACACAGTAACAACTCATGCATTAGTAATGGGTTTTCAAGATTTTCACTTTATAATACTGCTTATTGTAAACAACTCCAAAGTTCAGTCTTAGCAGTTGGTTGCATTTTCTGTTTCTCATCAACCAAGTAATCCCAAAAATGTTCAAACATGTTGAGGTCTGAGCTCAGGGGTGGCCAGTCTATTATTCTGAAAACACCACTAGGTCCTTTGCCTGATAAGTATGCATTGATCTCAGCATCGTGTGTAGGGTAATTATCTTTCTGTGGAATATTTTTTTCCCAATCAGTTTTGGTGGTCTACCAAGTCTCACACAGTTGTTCAGAGATCCATTTTCTCTATATAGTTCCTCATTCTCATTTTTCTTTGATTTTCCCCTTCCTTATGGAAGTGGATTATCTTATATTTGATCTCTTCAAAATATGTCTTTTAATCAGTTTAAATGCATATAAAAAGGCATTTAAAATGCAGCTTAGGTGTGTTTAGGTGGTTATTGTGTGACTGTTTATGTCTCTTTAAAGAATGGAAGAGTTAAAGTGACATTAGAATGTACAAAAGTAAAGACTGGACAAATTAAATACAATAATAATAAATAATAGCATTGATATTATACTTACATTTAATTTTCTGTTAAATATATGTTTTGTTCTGACAATAAAAATGAATAATGTACAAAATGAATGTTTTAAATTTACATTGAATAAACAAAACATTCATCTCTAACTTTTGCACAGTACTGTACATAAATAAAATGTTTTTCACTCTGTAGTAATTCTGATTCTTACCTATGTAGTGGAGTAGTAATGATTGATCTGTTAGCATATTCGTTTAGTTTAAGAATGACTTTGCAAAATGTTTACCTGAGTATCTCCAGTTTACAGTGTGAACTCTTGAGTCCGTCAGAAAGAACCTTCACACCTGAATTCTGCAGTCCATTGTGTGTTAGGTCCAGTTCTCTCAAGTGAGAATTCTGTGTTTGTAAAGCTGGTGTGAGAAATTCACAGGACTTTTCAGTGAGATTACAGGCAACTAATCTGCAAAAAAGGGAGAAAATACAGTACAGAATTTTATTTAATCAGTTCATACATGCTGGTATGTTTTCATTCTAAAGCCAAGCCAATAAAATAGACTATAATATTTAAAATTGAATATCAAAGTCTTGTCAATTTCTTGCAGATGTGATGTAAAATATTATTAACATATTATTACTAAAAAGTAGCACATTGATTAAGTGCAATGTTTCACTAAATACACCACTAAATACACTGTGTGAGGAAGTCCCTCTTGATTAGATTGGTTGCATTTCCCTGTAAATTGGCAGACAGGATGTTTCTGTAGGCTTCATTTTGCTGCTACCATCATGAGTTACATCATCAATAAAGATAAGTAAGCATGTTCCAGAAGCAGCCATATGATGAGATCATATGTTTTGGATTATGAGCAGATCCTTTCATTCTCCACACTTTGTCTTTTCATTTGCTTTGGGAGAGGTTAATCTTGGCCTCATCAGTCTATAAAATTCTGTTCCAGAACTTTTATGACATCTCTATATTTCTTGGCTTATTCTAATCTAGCCATCTGATTCTTACTGCTGATGAGTGGTTTGCATTCTGTGGTATGGCCTCTATATTTCTGTTCTCAAAGTCTTCTTTGAATAGAGAATTTGGATGCCTTCATTACTGCCCTGTGGAGATTGCTTGTGACATTGGCATAGGAACCGGAGGAGATGGGTGGAAACGGCTGCATTTGTCTCACCCAAAAAGTATACTGCAAGGGATTTTAAGTGGCACTGGGCCTTTTTTAAGGCTTTTGTTGAGGTGCTTGTTCTAAAATAAAGAGTGTTTGCCTAAAAAAACTATGCTGTGTTTGAATATCCTCCAATCACCAGTTTCTCTGGCCTCAGCGTTTGACTTGTTGTAGCATCTAGTTGGTAGTGAGGTTAGCTTTCACCAGCTTTGAACTTGAGGTCAGTAAAAAGAGCACAACAAATAGTAACAAAGGCTAATTATAGCTATGAAAATGTCTTACGTATAACGTTTTGGTACTAGAAAGGTTTGGGTTGGCTAACCTTAACTATGCTCAAGTCATCAAAAAACACTCCGAAACATCAAGTTATGTTAGCCTCTGGCCACGTCCCAATCTGCATACTGCCACACCAAATAGTATGTAAAAATTAGTACACCATCATTAGATGTGCTTTCAGTACTGTAGTATGTAAAGTTCCAAAGTGTGTTGTTTAGGACACAGCCTCACTGTCTAATGTTAGTCTTGTAACACTAGAACTTTCTTAGTATTAACCTTATTGTAAATTGTTTTGACATCTCATTTCAGCATACTGCTACTAAAAAAAGTGATAGATAAAACCATCACAGGACATAACGTTACTGTTTTTTTTATAGAGTAGCCTTAAGCCCTATTCTAACATATAGATTTTCATGGTTAGATGGGGTATTGCCAGTTTACCTTGCCATTATTTTGTTTACGCTAACAATTTAACTTTCTGTGTTGATGAATGCAGTGTATCATTAGCCTCACCATTAGCTTGGGAATTCACAGCAAACAGTCAACTTCACTGCATAAAATCAAACTGTAATTTTTACGTATTCTGAGTTGTAGGGGAGCACAGGGAACAGCCTAACGCGGAGCACGGTTTAACGGTTAGAAGGTCAAGCAGTGTGAGCTTCTGGCCACATTATCACATTTCTTAGCCATGTTCACCCATGGAAATTCAGAGCGATTCATCTTTAATCACTGTCTTGTTGCCTATAATGCAGCATCATTTTGAAGCACATGACAAGCTCACAGCAAGTGCTAACGAGACTTAATCAGACTTTTCGAGCAAGTGTTACAACTAACCCTCTGTTTGTTACAACTAACCACACCCATGGGGCAAATCCAAATCCAAAAGACACTTTCATTCATTCACTCATATACTCAAAGTGATTATTCCAACTTAAATATTTTTACAATTATTTAACACAAACCAAAATGTGTTAGTTTGTGCCCTGTTCTCCCCTACATATAAGATAGGATAGTAATTTTACATATCAGCCTTATTTTAGCCACAGACAATGCTGAGGCTGAAGTCAGGTTCCTATTTGCCAGCTTCTTGTTCAAATGCCTGTTCCACCTTAAATATTGCAGCAGTTACATTGTGCTGCTAATAACTGCCGCACCATTTAAGGTGAAATGGAAAAATCTGAACAAGAAGCTGGTGAGTAAGAATCTGACTTCAGCTTTGTCAGAGAACACAAGAAAGCACTTCTTTGAGTGTCTCCATACTGTTCAATGCCAATTTATCAGATCAATAAACACAAATAATACAGTGTGCTTAGTTTTTCATAAGCCTCTTCAGAATTGTTTTCAAACAGCTATTCAGCTCTGTGACTACAGTGGCAGATTCATAATAGCAAATGTGTCCTCCCCAATGTCAAACTCACTCCTACGCCCTTGGCTGGGGATGTCACTGACTGTTGTTTTTGGGGTTCTCATCAAAGCTCTCACAGTGTTTCTGTCATCAACTGCTGTTGTTTTCCCTGGCCAACCTGTTCAATGTCTGGTTAATTAAGTTCTTGATGAGGTCAATATCAATAAACGTGCCTTTGGTCATTTATTTATTTCATACAAACTTTGAGAAACAATTAAATGTTCAAGTTTTACTCTGAATGAACACATTATTATGAATACATAAGAATGTTAATCTTCATTTTAATATATATTTTATACATTTTATACCCTTTTTTGTGGAGATGGGGATTTTGACATGTCCTGCAGGTGCTTCATAGTTAAGTATGGTTAAATAACAACTTTTTTTAAAACTTCTATGTTTTCGTAAGGTTTTAAAGAAGTTTGTCAGTAATTTAGGCATTTTGATTATACGTTTTTCAATTTTCATTAAAATATAAACAAGAATTGCCAGCTACCCTGTCATCTTAGCATAACTTTGACATCAGTGACATCACAATCTTCATATTGTTTTATCTTATCAATGGACTAAACACACCTGCTGCATGTTCAGTAAGTATATAAGTTTATTTCACTTAATATTTCTCACATTGTCTCCATGCTTAGCTGAAATCAAGCTTAAGATATCCGCCCTGTTGTGGTGAAATATCGAGTTTGAGAATATCAGAATATATCTTTGAAGCAAAAAAAGGTCATCTCGAACATATCAACATGTGTGCAACCATAGGTCAATCATGTGTTCATCAATTGCTGACTTTAGCTAAATTTATCTACATTTTGCCATGACTGGGTGGATGCATGCATGATAGGGTGGACATATACATGCATTTCCTTTGTTGTTTCTTGTTTTGTTTTTTTTGTTTTTTTTTTTATAAAATGGCATTTCGTACGAATTGTTGAACTATTGATGGTTAAAAGAGTTACACTGTTTTTGCAAGATTTTAAAACAGGCAAAACCTCCTGTGCCTCGTCATACTGCTACAAGGGCACTTAAATGGTAAGAATGACCAAAACACCAACACAATCAGTCGTTCACTTACACACCCAAACCTACTCTCCACTATATATACTTAGATATTTATTATGGACACATTGTTAATTAAACTACTGCCATTTTTGTCCTTGTACACCCCATCACCTTCATGTTTTATAAAAATAAATATGTAATTCTTCACAGGTAAACAAACTATTATAATTGATTTTTGCTGGACTGCCTAGCAGCCAGCCTAGAAGAGGCATTTTCACTTACTGACTGACTGACTAACTTTGTTGAAAGACGCATGTGTGAGAAGTGTAGCTAGCCCTCCGTAGGTGATGGTAATGCACCCTAAGTTAGCCTGCTAAACACCCCATAACTGCCATTTGTCCAAAAGAAGAAGACCTGGGCACTGATTTCTCATGCAATACAGCATTAGGGAAGCTTGTTTTATGAGGGTGTGTGTCCTTGCTTGACACACGTGAGCTGAGGGAGCTCCAATGGCTCCTTGTCAGCTCTTTTTCAACACTGTGTGTCTGTCTTAGGAGAAGTTTTTCAACGTGGTCTCGACCGAGTCCAACTACTGTTTTTTGGTAGTCAGCAGCTCAGGGGTTAAACTGGGCTGGAGAGAACCAGAACTTTATAGCATTTTTGGTTCATCTCAGTGGCAAACAGCGCTGAGCTCTGGTGCTGTTTTTTGGTGGAAATGTAAACTATTTCACAATAAAATCTTTATGAACCCCCTTTTAACTATTCAATGTGAAAATACAGAGAAATGACCTTTAACCTCTCCAACTCTTCAAATTCATTTGTTTTTTGCCACCATGTGTTTAAACAGTTCTCCTTGCCTCGTTCTATCATCTGATATATTGGTTGGTTTATGTCTGCTGTTTCATAATGTTTTAACTCAGTAAATAGATGTGTTTCAAATTCATTATACCCCAACAAATAGCCCAGATTTATTTGGGGTTTGGAAAGTAACGTAGATGTAAACTAATGAGAATTGTAAGATTATTTTTCCCTAGAAGTAATAAGTAAAGTGATCCCATTACAGTTTGAGAGAAGTCGTAATTTGGAATGGAATATTTTTTTAAATAACTATCCCACCATTGGTCAGTGATGGGTCAGCTTCTTATTTTGGAACATAACCATAGTTTTCTGTTCTTGAAGTAGATCATGCATCTAACTAAAAATTTTGAAAGGCTAATTTTGGACTGTATGTGAGCTTGTTAAGTTCCCTGTGGGGCGTGTTTGTACTCAAGTTGGCTTGACTGTAAAAATGCATATGCTACTACAGGCTTTAGAATAGTAATACTGAACCTACAGTATTAAATGGGGTGTGGGGTTTGAGAGGTGTCATGTACTGTCAACTGTGTACCCTTTACTTTTTAAGTGGCTGCTTCACCCCTGGCGTTATTTACCAGAAGTAACAGAGGAGAAAGCATGCGGCCTGTCAGTCTGGCAAAACTAGGCTTGCCTATGCTTGTTTACACATAACTGTGGGTCAAGTAATTTTATTTTAATTTTTGTTCAAAGCTGTTTACTGTTGCTGTTGTCTGGGGGGCAAGGATGCCTGATGTGGATGTGGAGGGAAATAAACAAATTTTACAACAAAATCCAACTTGAGGGGCCATAAGAATTTCTGTGGAAAAGGGGACACAATATTGCTCTGAAAATGACTTTATTGTTTCTATAATACTTCAGAAACATAATTCATATATGTTGTGTTTATTCATGAGAGGTTGAACTTGTGTTTGTGTCCTAAGATGTTGGCTTGCCATTGTATAAATAAAAAAATAAATAAAAATCTTAAGTAATTTTTTGACATTTATGAGGTCCTAAAGGCACACTATACTGATACTGACCCAGTGGTTTCTTTCTTTTTAAGGACATTCCAAATTGTTGTATTGTCTATGCCCAATGCTTGTGCAATGGCTTTGATCAATTCCCCCCTTTTCTCAGCTTCAAAATAGCTTGCTTTTCCTTTTTAAATAGCTCTCTGATCTTCATGTTGGTGTATCTTTTTTAACCACAATGCAGTCTGCACAGGCAAAACACAGGGCTTAAACCAAGAGCAGACATTCAGAGCAATTAATTATTTAAACAGTCAATCTAAAAGAGCATATCTAGGCAACAAAAAATGCTCCATTATCTTTGCTCACTTGAAAATTGAATAGATTCAAACAAAAAGTGCCATGTTCTAAGTTGTTTAATACAGCTAAATATAAATAAATAAATAAACAAATAAATAAATAAATAGTCATGGTTTCTCAAACACAAATGTATTCAGTGTATAGTAAAAATAAAAAACTGGCCTTGCTGCTACAGTACTTTCAGAGGAGATTATGTGCCTGAAATTTCAAAACCCATGCACACACTTTCTGTATTATCTCCTCACTGTGCATGTGTAACTTAACTCTGAAAATGGCCCTCTGTTTGTAATTTAGCCCATGAGTGAGAGACATTTATTGGTGTACATTTTCTCTGAAAGATACATTTACGCTTCAAAGACAGAAAGAAAGCAGATTTATGGTATCAATTCATGCGAATTGACATATCCCTGATTATAGCAAAGGGGCTGAAGCCAGCTTAAGACAGTTTAGTCAGCATAAATTTTATCTCTGCAACTCAGGAATAAATTCACAGAACACTTACCTGAGCACCTCCAGTTTACAGTGTGAACTCTTCAGTCCAGTACAGAGCTGATTCACGCCTGGATCCCCCAAGTCATTTTTACTGAGGTCCAGTTCTTTCAGAGAGGACCTCTCTGATTCTAAAACTGACCTCAGTGTATCACAGGATTGATAACAAAGTTTACACAAAATAAGTCTGCAAATGGAGAGCAATTCCAACAGATTTTTACAATACACTCAAAGGAAGATGTTTTAATTGAATTAAATGTGTGCACATTTTTTACATATTCCTGCAGTCAGTATAATATTCCAAATTTATGTCAATAAATAAACACTAATACTAGCCTGAGTATCTCCAGTTTACAATGTGAACTCTTCAGTCCATCTGAGAGCTTCTCCAGTCCTGAATCCTCCAGGTCATTATAACTGAGGTCTAGTTCTCTCAGGGAGGAGTTTTCTGATTGCAGAGCTGCACCCAAAGTTATGATGGAAAGTTCAGAGAGATTACAGCCAGCAAATCTACAAAAAGCAAACAAAGAAAGTGATTAAAACTGACTTTCAGTTCTATACTCCACTGGTTTGGTTTTAAAACTTTAGCTTGGCTCCTGAAAAATGAAAAATATGGAATCTAGTCCTTTTTTCCATCTCCATGTGCAGCTAATTCACAGTCACTAATTGCTGATGGCAAAGAACGTGTACACTTTCTTGTAATTCACTACTTCAATTTTGTTTTATACAAGCACAGGTATGGCCTTATTCCTGTATATATCTACTGTTCTATTTTGCATTAAAAAGGGGAAACAAGATCAGGAACATTTAATTGAAATTACATATATATTTCATTGTTCACTGCATTGTGAAGTAAGCCAAATATTGCTGGCAACAACAAAAGCCAATGGGTAATGGTAACCTACGTAAGTCATTCATGACACTTGAAATAAACCTGCAATAAACATTTCAGACAGCACTATGTTAAACCATGACACTGAATTTGTGAACTGATAGTTTAGCATAACATAACTGTGTCATAGAGCTGTAGACTACTGGCTGATTGTTTTTTCAGTGTACTGATTATTAAATCTCCATTCATATAAGCCACACAGAATATGCTTTCTGGAGACAGATGATGTATGATCTGTTTATTCAGAGGTCTGAACTAAGAGTTTAGAGTTTAGCCCACTAGTGATTTCTGGTCGGTTTGAGCATGCATTGGAATAAAAACACAGAGAAGCTCCATATCATGGATTTGTGTTTTTTCTTTCAATGTCCAAATTCAGAGGCCAACTGCACAATGGACTTGGAGACCGGAGTCACCTGTGGCTTGGACAGCACGGCAGATGCAGGTGCAGCAGGATAGTTTATTGTTTAAGAGGTCAAAATAAAAAATAAACATCGTTCTTGCAAGTTAGCAGTGTAATATACTCATGGTCATTCTTTTATCCATCTGTTTAATAATATTTAGATGAAATACTCACTGAGCCTTTCTATAGTTTGCGATGGCTGGGATGAGTCTCTTGTAACCCTCTTCTGATGTTTTGTAATTCTTCAGGTTTAGTTCTTTCTTCACATGCTCTGAATGGAGACGCATGTAGGCTATGGCTGAGCACTGTGCAGGAGTGAGATCCTTTTTAGAGAATTTATCTGGAATTAGACAGAAACAGTGAAAGTCTTTCAGATACTACTGTCATTCAGTGACTGTAACTTTTTAAATAAATGACCCTCTGAATGGACCTTAAAGTGAACGGTGTTATTGGGTCACTTCTATTATAGATTAACAGTGGACTCATGAATATTAATTTACTATATGATTCTGTTGCATTTAAACAGTAGTTTGTCAGTATAATATATGCAAGTAATAAGCAATATTATGCAGTGATTTTTTTTTCTTTCTATATAGCTTTCAGTAATGTTTTAAACATTAAATTCTTAGAAACAGAAAAAATAGTAATTATGATTTTGTGTGAAAGATAAGATTCACTCATTAATTTTCATTCAGCAAGTGATAGAGAAGAAATTTTGCAATGTTTAAAATCAGCCTCTCTCAGTGAAGGTCCCCTACCAAAAGTGCTGTTACAACTTATTCCATTAAAGTGCAGGAGTTTTTAACAGTGATACATAGGTACAGATTATGATCTACACTTGCACTTGGATTTCAACTCTCTAACATTTTAATATTGACACTCTGGATTATGCGGAGTGCACACTTGTGGAAATCTCACTCTGAACAATGTTTAATATCAATAAAACTGAAATGCTTTTGAAAGTTAGAGATTTCAGAAAATAATTGAATTAGCTAGGAACGCTGTTTAGAAATAATCTACATTCCAAATGTCAATGAATAAAAATGATACAAATGAAAGGAGGTAGAAGTGAGATGTAAAACTGAGAAATGCTAAAGACTGCAGGGATCGTTGCAGACCATATGTAGAGTTGTTTAACATTCTAAAGTTACTGACTATTTACACTTTTTACAGTCACAGTGATAGGAACCGGTGGTTGCAATTTCTACATCACAAATAAATCCATTTTATTTACTATCCACAACCACCAGTGAACCTTCACTTGTCTTTTAAGTGTTTTTAAGTAATGTTGATAATGGTAAAATCCTGGTATATATGAAAATAATATTCTTTGTGGACTTTTTTGCCTTAATGCCCTGCATGTACTTCTCTGCCATGAATGGAGTTTAAAAATATGTTTTTGGTAAAACCTTATTTCAAAATTGGCATAAAGCAATGTCTCAGGGTTTAGGCACCTTTTGTCAAAGCATTTCATGTAATTACTTTCTCATGTAATAGCTTGTAATAAGCATTAAACTTTTTAGATGTTTGGTTTCTATCATCACCACAATAAAGAAATCTGAGTCACTAAGTTTCTCTACATCTAAGCATTATAATTCTTAATCATTTAATTATGACAAAATTTTGAGAAATCAGTGGAATTGCCCTTGAACATTGTCGTAGTATAATGTCATGAAAAAAATAATCAGCCGTAATTCCCTTTTTCTAGAATTCATGATTTGGTATTGATACAGTGAATGTATTTGTGTATGTTAACTGTTTACTCCTACAATGCTATAGTTGTTCTGGTCCTCTATGAATATTTCTGTAGTTGTTTTCACAAAAACACAATACCATGAACACAGATACAGGCTGAGCTGATGGGATGAAGCAACAGATAAACATAACTGTAAATAAATTACCCAAATTAATGGAAACACCTGCAGTAACCATGAATTCAGAGATTTTTACTCTGTTTTCCCACGGTAACATCTTAATTATTGTTTGTTTACTCAAGATCTCGTCTTATGTCATCATCACAACATAACAAATACATTTAAGCCAAAATTGTAAGGCAGCCCGAACACTATCTTTATATCTTTAAGCTTTCAAGTTAAACCCCTAATTTTTGACATCTCGTTTGATTAAAGAGCAGAGGCGCTAAAACACAGATCCACAGAGCAGGAAGTTTGGTGGAGGAGGAGAGTTTCAGCTCCTAAAAGTGTGAACTAAATAAAAATCAGGGTGATCATATATTGAGCATTTCAGTATTATTGAAGGTTTGTCTTGCATCCCACATAAATAAAACAATGTTCCTTATTTTTAAGATCATGGGAAAGAAACTTAAAATATCTACAATTTTAAGTCTAAGTTTAAAACATGAAAAAATGCAATTATTAGTCCTCACAATGCCTCACTCCAAAGATCACTGACTTGCTTACTTTTGAATATTGTTTTTGAGAACACTGAGAACATTATTGTAAAAAAAAATAATGAAAAAAATTATTGTTTGACCCAAATTTTGCTCAAAGAAAAGTCTGGCTGGACAATACAAGAACAATGATAAAAGAAAATTGTTCAATGGAGAAAAATAAAGAAAATTAAAGTTTGTGCTGTTCCATTTAGTGAATTAAAAGGAGGAGCTTGTTTTTACAAACCTAAAAGATAGTAATTCTGTGATGCAGTATTTTCTCTGTTTTTTGTTTTCTTGAATGTGTTTAGTGCAGAAGTCATTTACAAATAACTTGCCTCCTTTTCCTTGGCACTAAAATTGCACTAACATACAATTTTTCCATCAGTTGACATTAGTAAATTGCTGCAGGTTATTCATTTGCATTGTTTCTTCCTTTATTTTTGTTCCTAAACAGTGTCACATCCTAAAATGCATATTCATGTACCTTTTAAGATCCAAGCTGTAAATACTATTGATGCAATGGCAAAAACTGAAATGCAGATGATGGCAATCTTCCAGGCATGAAAACCTTTTCCTGAAATACAAACCAGACAAACTTTAACAGCAGGTACTTCACTTTAAGCTTAACTCAGTCAGTTCCCTTATTCATCATTTTTTAATAACAATGGTATGTCTACATTTTATATTTAGAGGAGATGATCACAGTAAATGTAATACTGTTTCTGTAAGCTAATGCTGCTCTTGTGAATGAATAGGTTTCAAACCATGTCCAGTCCATGTTTTACACCTAAAAAAACAAGATGTTTTCTGTCTTTACAGCAGAGGCACTCTGAAATTCAGCTACAGACATATTCCAATGTTTTGTTGATTTTCAGCAAACATACTTTAATCTTCTGTAAAATAGAGTGGTGCATAATCTCTGTTTTTTTGCTGAATAAGTAATTGTATTAAACAACTTTAAAACATGCAGATACTGTCTGTTCTCTGGCACCCAAACCTTGAAAATATTATGATGAAATATTATTCATTTTATTATAATTTTACAACTCATCTGAACCATCTGGACACTTCCGCTGTACAGAAAATGCTGAGAATTTTCTCCGCATGTTTCTATTTTGTGTACTGCAGCATTTATAGTTGTTCCTTCAGTAAATATTTAAAGTCTAATTCTGAATATTACTGGATTAGCCTGTTAGCCAGTTAACATCTCCTGTGCTGGGTTGCGTTTCCCGAACAGCGACGAACACCGCTGAACTAACAGAGTACAATGGATCTAACAAACATCCTTCTAACAATTGTTTCCCAAAACCATCTCAGCTCAGTCAGACCTCAATGGTCTGAACCACGTTAGTTGGAACCACCTTAATTTGAACTGCATTGTTTGATCTCTGCCTTTGATTTACAGCAAATAAACTGGCAAAATGCCTATGAACAGTAACTTGTTGGATAAAGTAGAACTTATTGCAGCAAGAACAAGCACGAAAATTAAGCTTTAAGTAGACCCATGAAAAGTAATATTACCTAAAGTATGCATGCCAGTCAAGCCTACAGCATTAAGGTCAGGCTACATCCATTTAATTCTTAGTTTAACCCTTAGAACCCTAAAGTAATTTTGCATGATTTTTTTGGTATTTTGGCCAATTAATATTTTAATCATTTACATGAGACAGATACACATACCATATGTTGTTACTTTTAGAAGACCCTGGGCTACTCAGATATGCTATTATTTCACATGTAAATGTTAACAGAATTTTTATTCTAAACTGAGTCAGTTTCTCACTCTGGCTTTTGGTTAGTGAGGGCAGGGTCTGCTGAGTGTTCTGGTGAATCATGTTGCTATTTTTTAACCATTTGTTTATAATATGAAAGCTAAAAGAAGAGATATATCGGCAACGAGTGGATTTTGGCTGATTTTGGAGCTGAATTGCTGGCTGATGGATGGTCACGGGTGGATGAAATCACTCTGGTTTGTGAGGGCAGGGTCTGCTGAGTGCTGTGATGTGTGAATCATGATACGATTTCAACCGTTTGCTGCAATATGAAGGCTAAAAGCAAGGCAGTTATATCAAGATTTTGGGTGATTTTCCAAACCGAAATACTTACTGATCTGTCTAGTGAGGGACGAGTCTGCTGAGTGTTCTGATATGTGAACCGTGTCTAAGTATTCTAATATATGAACAACGTCTGCTTAAACCATTCTGAAGTTATAAAAGCTAGACATCAGCTATGCACGTTTCCCACAAAATGCTTAATGCTTATGTTAATACTTAAAATATGCTTACTTTACAAAAAGTGCATGTGCAACATGCTAAAAAATTCCTTTAAATTTAAAGAAAGTCATACCATTGTATTAAGAAAGGAGATTTTATACCCAAACATGCAGTCTCTGGCACCTCAACATATTAACCCACTGTGTCGTATTAATAAAGGGTTCCTGGTTCAAATCTGACCATCAGTATTTTGTATTTTTGGGTGTCTACTCACAGTAACTACAACATAATATACATTGCAAGTTCTTAAGATGTTTTTTATAAATAAATATTAGGTATGTATACAGTAAACCGTTCATATTTTCACATATGGAGCAGCATCTCTGCCTTTTCTGCCTTTTCTGCCTCTTATTTGGGCCTCGTGAACTGCTGTTACTGCTTAGCACTATAATGCTTTCCTTACATTTAGTGTAACAAAGGTAAAATAACAAAAGCACCAGATTTGTCTCTTGCAGCAAATTATGGTAAACCATGTGGTCCATATATCTGGATTATACAAGAATCTTTTTTAATGTGGTCATATCAGATTCAAGCAGTATTTTATGTTTATTTTTTTGCACCTGTTGCCACTAAAAGTTATCTATATATCATACAAAGGTAATATGACTTGTAATATGACTAATATAACTTTAATTAAAAAAATAAGTTCATTCAGTTTTGTTTTTACTAGGCCTACATTTCCTTTCTCTAAATGATTTTCTATTCAACACTACTTCACTAAAGGTCTACATAGCACACGCCTAAGAAGCTTCTGGAAAAAAATCACTTCTCCCCTGTATTATTCTCCATTACACAACGTTTGCTTAATGTGTGAATATTAAGTAAATCAACAATACAACATAACACAATAAATCCAGTACAGCTTGATATAACAACAATATCATCTAACTAAGAGAATTCAAACTTCCGGAATTGATGTTGTATTCATCAGAAACTAACAGGAAACTAAGCTGCTAACTGCAGCCTCTGAGCTGTTGCTCCAACTACTCAACTCTGCAACACTAGTCACGAATGATCAGTTGAACTGAGGTTTTGAGGAAACATTCGCTCGTCTAACATTGGTTCTTCCGAATTTACCAACACGGTTACACAACTAAGCTTTCAAGAAACGCACCCCTGTGGTTGTTAAATAAAGCTGGGTTCCTACACAGGATATTTTTACAATGATTTGATGCCTCTTACTTTTTGAACTCAAAACATGTGACAGATTGGTGACTGCAAACATGACATGCATGCACTAATGAGATCCTGCATTTTCTTTCCTCCCCCAAGCTGAGCTATGCTGGAGTATCTTACTTTATAATGTCTCTGGGGGTAATGCAGAGGAAATCCTATACAAAACTCTGATTATGATGTTTCTTGAATTAAATGTTTCTAGAGAGAATGGCAGTACATCTAAGAGTAATTTTTTTTTTCACCTCCTATTTATAACCATTAGTAAGTCAGTGACTGTTACCATGGTAACTTGATTAACCAATACTGAGCACTGGGCAAAGCTAGTTTGTTGCTTACTGTGGTGATAAGAACAATGATCATTAAGGAATGTCATTTCTTTACACATAAATGATTGATAGGTAATGATAATACATTTATATTACGATAGTGCTTACCTTTGACTTCAACATAAATAGTTACATCATCGTCCCAGCCAAATGACTGAATGAAACATTTGTAAACTCCCTCATCAGAAGGTTGAACTTCTGAGAGTTTCAGTGAGGTGTTTCCTTTCTGCAGCTCTTCTTTAAACAGACCTGTCCTCCCTCTGTAAGATTCTATCTGCTGCTTATTGTTTTCTTTATTATATTCATACAGATGCACTATTGTGTTATATTGTGCCAATTCCAGTCTAATCCACTCTACTTTCATGCCCTCAGCACTGACTTTGGGCTGGAGAGAACAGGGCAGAACCAGATCTTCACCAGCTTCAGCAACAAGAGGAGCTTCCGGACCAACTACTTTTAAACGCACTGGAATAAGAAAGAATGTGGCCAATAAGTATATACTGTATATCAATGTATGATGTATTATCAGAATACATTATGTATATCAAAGTGCTTTACATAATAATAATAATAATAAGAAGAAGAAGAAGAAGAAGCCAGGTATTGAAACTGATGGCTCTCACCATTAACTTCTACATAAAGAGTGACGTCATCGTACCAGGATGTCGATTTGTCCTGAACAAAACACTTATAAGCTCCCTTATCAGAAGGTTGGACTGCTGAGAGTTTCAGTGAGGTGTTTCCTTTCGGCAGCTCCACTTTAAACAGTCGTGTTCTCCCTCTGTAAGATTTTACCTGCTTCTCATTTCTGTCCTCATGATCTTCATAAAGATGCACTAGTCTGTCAGTTTCACTCAGATCTGGTCTGAGCCATTCAACTGTCATATCCACAGCACTGATGTTGGGTTGGACAGAACAGGGCAGGACCAGGTCTTCACCAAGTTCAACAACAAGAGAAGCCTCTGGACCAACAACCTTAAACTGCTCTGCATTGAAAAACAAAATACAATATAATGACATCACAATTCAATAAATTGTTTACGAAAATGTTAACCAGTTTTACCTCTGCTCTTTTTCCAATCTGTTCCAGTCTAGTAGGCTTCTCCCTATTATATGATATATTACATTTGGTTTGATATGTTAATAAATATGCAAGGCTAATATTACATGAGTCATATATTAAAATATTCCATCATATATTCATATATTTTTTTAATGAAATGCTTCAGCCAATGTGTCTTCCAATGTGTGTTTGAACCATTGGTCAGACAGCATCGTTGAGCACATAAATGCTCAGTGCAGTTGTTAACTGTTTGAATTTCCCATGTCACCATGCAAGTCTGAATGGTTGATATATGAAATAACACTGAGAATCTGTGAGACAGTGACAGCACAGCTGAGACTCAAACCTTAGGGTCAAAAGGCCACCTGTAGTGCATGCGTCGTTAGAGACCTCAGAGAAATTACCACACAGGACTGCTCTAGGTTTTTAGTTTATTTAAAAGTATTGTAGTAATACTGTTACTTCCTTGTTAAGATTTGGTTAGAAGCTAAAGGGTTAAAATCTTGAAATTTCCGATGGAAAATTGTCCAATCAGGATTTTTTTTTCTTTGTGGTACCAAAGTAGGAGCTAGACTGAAGCTCTGAAGAAATGAGAAAATGACAGTGGAATCAACCAATCATTTTAATTTACAATAGGTTGGACGAATTTTTGTGAGAAAAAAAATTTTGGAGGCCTTCTGGGGGTACTAGATACACTATATTGCCAAAAGTATTCGCTCACCCATCCAAATCATTGAATTCAGGTGTTCCAATCACTTCCATGGCCACAGGTGTATAAAACCAAGCACCTAGGCATGCAGACTGCTTCTATAAACATTTGTGAAAGAATGGGTCGCTCTCAGGAGCTCAGTGAATTCCAGCGTGGTACCATGATAGGATGCCACCTGTGCAACAAGTCCAGTCATGAAATTTCCTTGCTACTAAATATTCCACCATTGTGTATAACTTTATCCACTTTCACATTTAGCCAAACATAAGAAAGTCAGGATACAACAACCCTTGCGTGTGTGTATATATATATAGCCCTATTTCCAAAAAAGTTGGGATGTTGTGCAAAATGTAAATAAAAACAGAACGCAATGATGTGATTCTGCCCTAAATAGCTCCCACAGTGAGGCCACTTCAATTTGCCTCATGTTCCACCCGGGCGGACAAGGCTGAGGCTGGTCTGATTGGCAACATGAGCACCTTTTAAAAAGAGCAGAGAGGCAACAGAGAGAGAGGGAGAGAGGGACGAGCAGCAGCAGTAGCAACGACAGAGTGAGGAGCTGAAAAGCTGGAGTGATAAAAGACTGACAAGCCTTGCTTGAAGCCACTGAAAAGTGGCCATCATATCTTAGCGTTGGTTTTGTTTCTGTTTGTGTTTTATTTATTTATTTATTTATTTTGGTGGAGAAAATAAAGAAAATGGCTGCTGCAAACATGAACCTTGCCTCCAGCGATGCCAACACACTGAGGGAGTCTCCGCGGCAGAAGAGGAGGCCATCAAGACCCTGGTTCCCCTGCACCTGGCCAGCTGGCAGGAGTTGCAGGCTATTTTCCAGGATGCTGAAAAGCAGTGGAAGTTTCCCCTCCCATCCCGGCTCCAAGAGTGCTCGGAGCTCTCCTCGTTTCCCCTCCCATTCCGGCTTCAAGAGTGCTCAGAGCTCGCCTTGTTTCCCCTCCATTCCTGCTCCGAGAGGGCTCGGAGTTCGCCTCCTTTCCTCTTCCCTCTCTCCTTGTGAACACGTCGCCAAAGCCCCGCCTCCTCGCAAACACGAAGCCGAGGCCCCCCGCTGTGTCTGCTGCCAGCACAGCCTCCCCTGACTGACCACTGAGGGAACCGCTACACAGGCCCCGTCTTTGTTCCCCCACCCTCCTGCCCTGCGAGTCTTTCCTGGCGAGTTGGGTGCTGGGGGTGACCCTGATGACAGTCGCAAGAGCCGTCAGGGAGGCAGGGTCCAAACTCCAAGCAAGGACAAGCCCAGCCGAGGACGGCGGGGAGAGAGCGACGAGTGAGTGGGAGATCGTCGCGCAAATCCCGACCACCGCCGAGGGACTTGAGTGACGGCGGGAGGAGGACGTTAGCCACGAGAGAGGGGAAGACGATGACGGCAACAAGAGGCACGAAAGCGGGAAGCGAGTCCCAAACTCTGCCGCCTAGGCCCTGCCCCCTGTTCCACACCGAGGCCACTTCACTCCACCTCACGTTCAATCCAGGCGGACAAGCTCTGGCGTGGGGCGGTGACGGGGAGGCGGAATAACGAGCTCTCGTTCCCTCTCAGCTCAGGTGAGCGCCTTTTAAAAAGAGCTGAGAGGGAACAGAGAGAGAGGGAGAGAGGGACGAGCAGCAGCAGTAGCGATGACAGAGTGAAGAGCTAAAAAGCTGGAGTGATAGCGTTGGTTTTGTTTTTGTTTGTGTTGTTTATTTGGTGGAGATAATAAATAAAGAAAATGGCTGCTGCAAACATGACCCTTGCCTCCAGTGCCCTCCTTGAGCCCGGGATAGCGCATGTCGTGCTACACACAAGTGTTCCTGAGTGCATGCAGTGATTTCCACTACAGAATTGTGTCTGTTTTTAATGCAGTGAAGCCTGAGGGCCCGAAGATCAGGGTCAGACAATATTGGTATTCAGCCCCTTACATACAGAGATTTTTTGGATCTTTTAAATATACTATGTACTATAGATTATGAGTTCTTTGTTATTTTATGTTGTTTTTGAATTGTTGCACTATTTGCCTGAGCAGTCTTTCATAGAGTGGTGAACCCCTCCTCATCTTTACATCTGAAGGACTCAGCCTCTCTGGGATGCTCTTTTATACCCAATCTTGTTAATGACCTGTTGCAAATATTCCTAATTAGTTGTAAGATGTTCCACCAGTTGTTTTCTTTTAGCATTATACAGCTTCACTGGTCTTTTCTTGCCCTGTCCCAACTTTTTTGGAACGTGTTGCTGGCATCAAATTCAAAATGGGCATATATTTTTCAAAAACTGACTTGTGGCAGAGGTGGCATCCAATGACAGAGCCACGTTTAAAGTCACTGAGCTCATCAGCACGATCCATTCTACTGTCAGTGTTTGTCTATCGAGATTGTATGGCTGTGTGCTTAATTTTATCCAGCTGTTAGCAATGATTTATTTATTTATCACTTTTTTCTCTCTCTCTCTCTCTCTCTCTCTCTCTCTCTCTCTGTCTGTCTCTCACACTCACACACACACACAGTGCATTGTATGGGATTGTGGATACGTACCTGCTGTAGTCCCTATTAATGCAGAGAAAATCAGTAGTGTCACACTGAGAAACTTCATCCCTGAAAGAAAATCTCTGATCAGCTGAACCTCAAACATTCTATTTATTAACTAAGCTTAACATAATAAAATGAAATAATAAATAAAGCATTAAAGGATGTCATTTGACTAGGAGCCCCCAAACCTTTGCATACAGCTGTATTAGAGGACAGCAAATAAATTTAATAAAAAATCAGTTGGAATATTAAACACACTTACATTCAAAAAATTCACTGAACAAGTCTGAGGTCTTTACGAGCCTAGCTAAGAATCTGCTTCTGGTATCAGATTTTTAGCATTTAACATGAAGAGAAAGAGGGAAAGCAAGCAAAACTATCTATATTATTGTCTGTAAGTACAGATTTTGCCCCAACATTCAACCTCACCAAGGAAGAGGCTAAACTAGCTAGGCTATTAGTATCAGACTTAGCACACTGCCTTGATGTTGTTATAGGAAACCATCAACCAACTGAGGAAAAGTTTTTTTTTTATCCTGATCAGCTTATTAAAGGTATTTGATACCACTTGGCATTTTATTAGATAAACTGAAGGTACAAAGTCTATGTCACAATATAAACTTAACAGCGTGTTTGTTATTATAGCGTTATTATAGTGATCATTTTATTAATGGGCATTCGAGGGGAAAAATTGGAAAAAATAAATGAAGCAGTAACTGTGCAATATATTTTCATAATATACTGGGTCAATCTGCATCACAATTATTGACCCATCTGAGTTTGGGGAACCACTGACCATTCTGAGCTTAGGGAGCATTTTGCCTTGCTGAATTTGAGTAACCCATAACTGTACTGAGCCTGTGGAAACAGTGACTTTACTGAGTTTATGAAGTTACTAAACCAGATAAATCTGAAGAGCACTTGAAGAGCACCGTACTGAGTCAGAAGACCCTTTTTTAAATTTACAACATCTGAGAAACTATTGATGCTACTGAGTCTTAGAATGAACCACTGAATGCTTAAAAGCCAGCAGCTCTTCTGAGTTGGAGGAACTACTGACTCTTATGAATCAAAGGAATCATTTACAGTCCTGAATCTAAAGAGCAGAGCTGGGCAGAATACTCAGAAAAGTGATGATGGCTGAATATTGAATACATTGTCCGAAATGTATTCAGTAACATATTACATACAATACGAAAAAGTAACTTATTCAAGACACAGGGGCTGAGGAGAAATTGATGCTTCTTGGTTTTAGGAGTCATTGTCCCTACTGAGCCTGAGGAGACATTTAAACTACTGAGCCCGACCTGGCCCTACTAAGTCTTAGAAACCACTGACCGTACTGAACCTAAGGAGCCATTGACTACTTCCTAAGTCTGAGTACAATGTATTCACCTTTCTGATTCCTAGAAATCACTGACCCTTTAGAGTCTGAAGAACAGTTGATTGTAGTTGTTTGGCTGAGGCCCTTGAATTATCAATTATTTTGACTGTAGATAAAATTAGTGAGACTGTGGTTCCTTTCGGGATTAAGGAAATGCTACAATGGTAAAAGTATCGAGTCTCAATTTTCTTAGGTTGTGGCTTTGGAACATGACATGCTGTGTTGGTTGTGTGGGTTTATGTCTGAAAATTAAATATAGGAAATGCTCAGTCCTTCTAATCAGACTGTTTTACCATATGTAAATATGTGATGACCCAAAGTATTGTTGTTGTTGTTTTGTTTGTGCTTGTCAATTAGTATGATTAATGAAATAATTTTACAAACCATTCTTTTTTCAGTTTCTGTTGTTGTCTGGGAAGCTGTTTAAATTGTTGTTTTGGGAGATAAATATCTAAATGTTTAGTGTTTTTATTTTTTTTTCTGTTTGTACAGGAATTTGTAGATAAGGAGACTGGACAGGTCTTTAGTTTTAGACCAGAGACCTACATAGAACTACATAGACATTTCAACAAATGATCACTTCGCTCCTTCCAAATTTAAAACTGAACACCAAAGTAGAGATTTCATTGCTGGTCTGTCACACCATCATCTGTGTCCACTTCTAGTTTTCAGCACTCTGCCTCCCTGTCCTTTTAAATGCCAATCTCTGTCCTTTCTCATCACCACCACTGGAACTCACTTAACTCTCAAACCTCTTACGTAGCTTCTTCAGTAGCTTTGGAACAGTGGGCGTAAAGGATACATGTGTGTACATGAGTGGTTTGTAAGCAGAATATCAGCGACATGCCTTGCTGAATAAAAGACATTACATAGCAACTTGAAACATCTACAATACCACTGTCCTCCTTCTAGCATGTTCTCTTTTTATCATCAAGAACGTTCCGATCATTTGACAGAACAAGACAACCTGTTCTACAGTCAGCAGTGTTAACTCCACATTCTTTGCCTCCAGTTCAGCCTTTTACTTAAAGTCTAGTTTAATCACATCAACTTTTAACTGCTTTAACTTGTGAGGGTTTCAAGAAGGACAGAATATATTCCAGTTTGGTCAGCAGTGCTAAATCATAACAAGAGTCATGTATAGTGCTATGTGGCCAGTGGCTTTAGTGGTATGTGGTCTGTAGTTTCAGTGTCTCTGGTTACCAGGTTCAATGCTGATGGTCAGTAGATTCATTCTTGTGTAGATTCATTTCAGTGCTGTGTGATCAGTAGTTTCTGTGCTGTATGGTAAGTAGCTTCACTGCTCTACTGAAACATGTCTGTTGCTACAGTGATCCATGATTTGGGTGTGAAGGAGCTCAGCAATGTGTTCTGCTAAGTATTTTAAAAACATACAGATCCAGGCTTCACACACTGAAGTGATGAACAAATGCCAATATTGAACCAGCTCCACCTGTGTTAGTTGACACAAGTATGAAAATTTTGGACAACATAAAAATATTATGCCTCACAATCTCTTATTAACGATCACTAAGAATTTACAGATCACAGCACAGTCCAGCTTAGCCCAGCATTAAAATAGGCATCACACACATTGTACATAGATAGCTAGATGGACAAATGATCACATGATTCACTGAGCTGAAAACATCCTGTCTTTCAGTCTAAGAGTGTGTTGAATATCCGAAAGCAGTGCGAATGTAAGAGCTGAGAGCAGCGTTACCTGTTTCTGCAGTCAGTCTTCAGATTCTTCAGTTAGAAAAGTTCAGATTCAGTTTAATCAGGAGATCCAGAGCTGCAGCACAGAACAGACACATCAGCTCATACACACACACACACACACACACTCACATCATCTCTATTTCAGCACTGCAGCTTCTCACTGTACACCACTTTACTGTGTTACACACCTGCACACACACTCTGCTTCTCCACTGCAGTCGAGACTGAATGATCATCTGCTGCACTTTCCTTTTCATTACAAACACAAAACCAGCCTAAACTAGTTTAACTCACCTGATAACACAAGTGTATCTGAAGCCATATCAAATTACGTTCCTTGTGTGTGTGTGTGTGTGTGTGTGTGTGTGTGTGTGTGTGTGTGTGAGTAAGAGAGAGAGAGAGAGAGAGAGAGAGAGAGAGAGATTGTAGTTGTGTTTATAACTTGTTTCATTCCAGTTCGAGTGTAAACCTGTTTGTGTGTCTGAAGCTGAACTACATTTCTTCAGAAAAACATCAGATTCCACAGAACAGCAAACCACATTCCACACACAGGAGTGTCTGAGCTCATTATTACTGAGAGTGTATTATACACAGATCAGAGTCTATATTCAGTGGAGTCTAAAAGAATGAATGAATGTTGTTTATACATAAAGTGTATTACCTTAATCTCACAATTTAAAAAAAAAAAGAGAAAAATCCAACCTTTAATTGGAATAAATTTACTCTGAGATTTTTTTTTTAACAAAACCACATGTGCCAGAATTATTGGCACCCCTGCCATTTCAGTGCTTTGGTCGACCTCCTTTTGCCAATAAAACAGTGCTTAGTTTTCTCATATAACATCTTATATGACTGAAGAACAAAAAGCAGGGAATCTGAGCCCATTCCTCTTTACAGATCCTCAAACAAAAAATAACTAGTTAAGCCATCCTGGAAAGGGTCAAACAGATCAAACATATACAACAGTGGTTTTCAGCCCGTGAGCTGTGACCCTTTTTTTAATGCAAAAAATAGGTATAATACGCATTTAACTAAATGAAATTTTAAATATGACAATTATTGTTAACTGTTTGCAAAAAATGAGGCTATGAAACCCAACAACACCATCACTCAGAGACTAAACACAGTGAATATCTCAGTGATTATCCGGTAACCCTTTCTTTTAGTCCCCTAAGTTCTAGGTATTAACCAGATAAATGTGAGGTACAAACTCCAAAGTACTAGGTAATTATTTTAGATGATGAGATGGTAAGTACCAGGATAGTCTAAATTAGTTATACTAATATGTCTCACAGGTTCTAGGTATTACCCAGGTAAGTGTGAGGTACAAACTCCAAAGTACTACGTGATTATTTTAGGTGAGAAGATATTAAGTACCAGGATAGTCTACATGAATTATTATGAAACATCTCACGGGTTCTAGATCAGGCCCATGGGCCTTGTGTTTGACACATGGGTACTAGATTGTCAATATTAGAGGGAATGTATCTGTGTGTTATAATGCATTTACCTGGAACTTCAAAAGAATAAACAGGATGTGAGTAGGAGCTCAGGTCACTCAAATCTGTAGAGTCTTAAATAGTATGTATCTGTCTATTACCTAGATACTAAACTGAATCTGAACAGGGACTCTTTCTATGGTTTTACTGAGTTCTTACCACAAAGTTCAGAAAAATTGCCACTTGTTATGCAAGTGTAAATGGACTGTAAGAGAAAGCAGGATTCAACACAATGGTAATACCTGTTTATTAAAACTTTTTGACAACTCTGTTTTTCTTTTCTGTACATTGTAATTTACAAGAATTATTGTGTCAAAAAATAGAGTTGTCAAAAGGTTTTAACAACTCTTACATCAAAGAGTATTCTTCTGTGATACAGTGTTATTCAAGGTAATAGATTTTATACTACCTGAACAATTATAACATGACTTTCCCTTGTGAAAAAGTAACTTAAATAGTGCTTTAAAAAGTTATATATTGATTTTATGTTATGGTTTATCTGTACTTAGTATAATAGTCATGTGTTATTTTCACCACTCTTATGGTATAGTTTGAGTAAACAGGTCTGTGCTGCCAAACTGAACTCTAAATATATATTAAAAGAGTTTTTAAATTATTTTTGTATTACTCGTACTACAGTGTACTCAAATATATGCTTAGCATACCAACTTAAACTTTTTAATTTTTATTTTAATTCGATGCTCATTGATGTCTATGTTAATAGCTTTGGATTAACCCAGTGGCTCCCAATTCTGGTTCTGGAGACCCCCCTGCCCTGCACGTCCTGCTCCCAACATGACTGTCCAACACAGCACCAGGACCAACCGTGCCAAAGACATTTAGAGACACTGGACACACTTTAACATTTGTCAAGGTGTCATATCCTGATGATGTTCTGACCCCAGATAAACTTTCCTAGTCAAGAAACTGTTGACTGTGTTTTTAACTGTTGTGATTGTGTTTGTCTGAAAAATGTGAAAAATTTAACTTTGGGGAAAATGTAGTCACTTTTGAAAAAAATTTGAATTACTTGTTGGAGTATTACATAAATATGTTAGGTGTGTTAGAGGTTTTTAAGAAATGTTGTTTATGTGCTGTTAATACAGAAATACAGTTCAGAAGACAGTATTTATAGACGTAAACTATTTGACCATCATGATCATCTCATATTACAAATTACAAAGTATAAAATAAATGGTCATTCAACTGTATATTCCAGTGAACTTAAGTAGTGTTAGAAGGTTACATATACAGTTCTGTGAAAAAGTATTTGTCCCTTTCCCAATTTCATCCATCTTTCCGTATTTGTCACAGCCGGATGTTTCAGATCATCAAACTATTTTTAATATAAGACAAAGATAATCCAAATGAATAAAAAATGCTGTTTTGTATGATTTCATTTACTGAAGGAAGAATGCTGTTCAAAAATGCTGTTCTACCTGGCCCTATGTGAAAAAGGTATTATCCCCTTAGCTACTGAATTAACCAGTTAACCAAATTCAGTAGACAATTGTAGACAATTCAATTTTATTAGCCACACCCAGACATGATTACTGCCAGATCTGTTGAATCTAAATATCACTTAAATAGAACCTGTCTGGTAATGTGAAGTGGGCTAGAAGGTCTCAAAAAGCACAACATGATGCCACGTTCTACATACAGATGCGGAATAAAGTCATTGAAATCTACCAGCCTGGAAAGGATTACAAAGCCCTTGCTAAGGCTCTGGGACTCCAGCAAACCACAGTGAATTCCATTATCTACACATGGAGAAAACTTGGAGAAGTGGTGAACCTTCCCAGGAGTGGCCAGCCTACCAAAATTTCCAAAAGCTACCAAAAGCTAATACCACATTCCACCATAAGAACATCATACCAACAGTCAAACATGGTGGTGGTAGTGTTATTGTCTGGGGCTGCTTTGCTTCTTCAGGACCTGGATGAATTGTCATAATTGACGGAACCATTAATTCTGCTCTCTATCAGAAAATCCTGAAAGAAAACTTCCACCTCTCAGTTTGGTTGGGTTATGCAGCAGGACAAAGATCCAAAGCACACAAGCAAGTCCACCTCTGAATGACTCAAAAGAACCAAAATTAAGGTTTTGGAGTAGCCGAGTCAAAGTCCTGACTTGAATCCCATTGAGATGCTGTGGCAAGACCTTAAACGGGCAGTTCATGCTCGAAAATGTAGCTGAATTAAAAATGGGCCAAAATTCCTCCATAGTCATGTAAAAGACTCATTGCAAGGTATCACAAACATTTGATTACAACTGTTACTGCCAAGGGTGGCACAACCAGTTATTAAGTTTAGGGTCAATTACTATTTCATGGGTGATATAGGTTTTGAATAAATTTACATCTTCAATGAATGGAATGAACATTTGGAAGCTGCATTTTGTGTTTACTCATGTTGCCTTTATCAGATATTAAAATTTGTTGGCTGTATTAGCAAAATTAGCAAAAACAGAAGAAATCAGGTGAGGGGCAAATACTTTTTCACAGCACAGTATTGTTCTGCAAATGATTAAAGGTGAATGGAATCTGATTTCACCAGAACTGACAAATGATGTGATACTCTGAGGACTGGACCCATGAATGATCTGCAAGCTGTCTTTCCAACTCTACCATGCAAGGGAAGACTGAACTAGTAGCGAAATTTGTGGAATGTCTTTGTGTCGCTAGGAGCAATTACAGTGGAATGCAGTCTGGTGCAGTTTGGGACAATATGCTCAGTTACTACATTTGCCAATGGTTTGGACAAGCACACTGATCAAATGGCAACTACATCATGTATTTACTGGGAGAACAGAATCTTCACTGAACTGGTCACTCATGACAAACACACTGAGCGAATCTTAAAGGTTCTGTACTTCAGTGCACTCAGATGGCATATTATTAGGGGAATCCTCAGTGAAGGGGACCTGGTTTCAGGGGTGGCTCGAATGCTAGTGGAAAATTTGTATGTTACAACTGTAATGAAGTTATTAATTTTGCAAGAGAATGTCCACCTCAACCTTCAGAGGAGATGGGACCTCAGTCACCACACCAATTCATAGTCTAAAACCCTAGAGAACAGCAGCTGCAGGGCCAATTCTCAGCATGAAACACAGCAGGAGAGGTAGGATGTGGTTTATTTCTGAAAGTTGAGGGGAAACAATTAATTTTTTTGGAGGACACAGGAGCCACACATTCAGTAATTAACACTCAGTTTGGTTTGAATTTGAAATCAACCACAAACTCTATTAGTACAGTGGGTTCATCAGGCCTCCCTTTTTTACATTTAGTACCAGTTAAATTAGCACTAAAACTATCTTGCATCATTTTTTGCTTACTCAAGCATGTCCAGTCAGTATACTTGGTAGAGATCTGTTAGGACATCTGAATATATCAGTTGATATCTGTGAAACTGAATGTGACATTACCTCAAGTTTGTATCCTTTTTTGACAGGTGATTATTTTTATTCAAGGGATGTCACAGATGAGAAAGTGTATGAAGAAGGCAATTTCAGTAATCAGTTTGTAAATTGAGAAAAGCCTGATTTTTTGCATTGCATGTTCTATGTCTCCAAAGGGCATTAAGACCAAGAACAACCTATAGAAAATTTAAATAACTTTGATTAATATTAGCCTATTTCACTATGCACAGCACTACAATCCCCATCATGCACTGCAATGTAATTTATGGGACAAAGAATTCTACCGCATCACTCATGTCACCAAACACACTAACTGCGTTTCAGCAGCAGTCCAATTAATATAAACAGCTAGCTAGCTAAAAAAGAGGACAAAAAAGTGGACAGTAAACACAGACGGGCAGGAGCTTGAATACCTTTGTACTTCCAATAGGGGAAAACCTGTCTTTGTGGAGATAATGAAGCCGTAATGTAAGAATAAAACATTAGGCACCACTATGAGACAAAACACCATGACAAACATGGAGAGATGGATAGACAGCAGAGGCAACAGACAGTGGTAGAGATGATGAAGGGCCTTGAAGCTCAGCAGGCTATTGTTACAAAGGCAAAATATCAGAGCAATAACGCAGTAAAAGCCAGTTTTATAGTGGCAGAAAAAATTGCTGAATCAGGCTAACCTTTTACTGAGGGTGCTCAGAAAAAAGGCAAGCATATGCAAATGTGAGCCTTAGCAGAAACGTAGTGGCTGATCGGGTGGATGAGTTAGCCACCAATTTTGAATATTTCAAGCATTCATGTAACATTTCAAGGTCTACACTATGGCCAGTTCTGGTTATAGCAATATGTTATTTTACAATGAAATAAAACCACAGATGTTCTCTGACTCATGGATTTGATGAGATTTTTTAATATGGCCCCTTTTGTGGTTGAGGTTGACACCCGTGATCTACAGCATATGCTATTGTAAATTATTTTGAGGTTGTTGAAAGTAACAAACTTCTCTTATTCACTCTAATCTAAGTCTGTATCTTTGCTGTCTGTACATGCAAGGCATACACAACTAATTCTGACCCTATTTCACTGGGCAATACACGCACTGACTCTGTGGCCACGGACACTACACTGCTCTCTCTCTCTCCGCCACTGCAGATGTTGTCATCCTGTCATGCTGAACAGGCTGACTCCTCTAATCTCTCTAATCTCTCTCTCTCTCTCTCTCTCTCTCTCTCTCTCTCTCTAAAGAGCTTAAGTTCATTGGAGCAGGACTGCAGACTACAGAGATCTTTTTGTACTAAGGACCTGTCTACATGACTGTAGTTTGATTCTGATGGACTCACAGCTTTTCTGGCTGTGTGCTTTCCCTTTTTGGTAAAACTAAAACATAGTTCTGACCATGTCTTAAAGGGTGCTGTGTTAAAAGCAGTAAACAAACATTGTGTTAATTTTATGCAACACAACATTGGCAAAAATTCACAGACCAATCAATCAGCTGATCCAACTCCAAGTTTTCCAATAAAGCATATTATAACTGATTTTATTGAATTGACATTGTGCCAAAACTACTGGTACTAACTGTGATTGACATGTTCAGTAAATATCCAGAATGCTTTGCATGCAGATAACAGGATGCACAGGCAGGGGCAAAATGTTTACTTAGGGAAGTAATTCCCACATTTGAAGTACCGGTGAAATTTCATGAGATAATGGTGCACATTTTGTAAACAAACTGATTCAGCATCTTTCTCGTACTTTGAATCTGTACTTTGAAGTCTGCAGGGGCTGTGGAACATCTGAATCAGACCATTAAGGAAAAATGTTGAAGGTAATGGCTGACACAGGTCTAAATTGTGTGCAAACTCTGCTAACTGTTCTGATGTGCATTAGGGCAAGACAGAGCACTAACCTCGCTGGACTTGGCCTTGGCAGGTGATGCTGACCACTCCTTCTGCTGTTGGAGTTGCTGAAAGAGACATTTGGATTCACTGCTTACACTACAGGAAAGTTTCAGACAACTTTGTGTCAATGATGGAATCAATTGTACCTACATAACTGTAGTATGGCCTCTGCTAACCTGGGATCAGGAAATGGATGCTGGAGGCAGCGTGAATATGCTTTAAGAAGACCAATTATATGATAGATTGAGGGCAGAGGGATGGGGGAGGGTTTGTTGGGCTATGTTCTAGCTTTGTTCACCTGTAGTACAGTCAGAGAGGATCACCTTACATAGTATATAATCTTTGGTGCAGCTGGTCTAGCCGGTCCAACTGACAGGTCAGACTATTGGACAGAAAACGTCCCAGTATGCCCAATGTATAAAATGTATGCTCATGTCACACAACAGCCAGGGCTGAAGAGAGAACTGTAGATCCCTACTTAATTAAAAGTACTGTTACTGTAGAGAAAACATACTTGAATACAAGTAAAAGTATTAAACTAATATATTAATTAAGCACATCATATTACAATGAGTTACAATGAACATGACAGTGACTCAAGGACATTAACTGAACATTAAGTTTGTTTTGACTAATACACTTGATGTATCAACTTTTATTTATTGGACCTTTAACTTTCTGAAGTGGTTTAGTCGACAATCATATAACCTGCAGCTACTTCCTTTATAACCTGGCCTGATATTCATCTTACTCGCTCATTTTCACTCTTTCTCACTGCATTCAGAGTCTGAAAATGAAACACATATACTATAGGCTCGTTCTAACTGCATGAACATTTATTTATATCATGAAATAAAGCATCAAATAAAACTAACTTATTTACTACCACAGTAGAAATGAGCCAGACTTCTTTCGATTTTATCCACAGCCTGCAGTATCTGCATGTGAAACCTGCTTCAACAAGTGTTCGACAAAAGTGAACATTTAGGGGTTAAACAATTCTCTCCTGAATGAAACTCTTACCTCTTTATAAACGGTGACTGTGTAGCTGTCTTGTTCCAACACTTCACCGCAGTTCACTGTCAGACACACTCACTGCTTTAAAGCCATTTCACGCAGCGGAAGTTTGATGTGTGCAGCTCATAAACAACAAAATGTCGGACTGCTCACTCTTTCACTTTTGGTTTGTAGCTCACAGCTCGTTCTTACACAACAGCCACTGGACACGCCTCTGTAGCCTAGACTACATCTTTATTATGACTTATCAGTGTGTACAGATTCTGTGTCATGTGTGGTGAGTAATGAGGATGTAAGTGCGAGCAAACTTTAATACACCAAACAAACTAGTAGAAACACTGAGATGATACAAAATAACAAACTGCAAGGCTTTAAATCAAGAAACACATTAAGTAAACCAAACACAGGGCAGGCACATAACCACTACATGTAACAAAGTAACGTAACATAAAGCAGACTAGACACCCAAGCACTGAAACAAAAGGCTTGATAAAAGCTAGAAAGAACAGGAAACACCTGGGAGATGGAGGAGACAGAAACTACAAACAGGTGTGAATCCTAATAGGGAAGGAGGGAAAAGGGCAGAGCAAAGGAAACAAGACAAAAACAAAAGCACATGCCAAAAAACACATGGCTACAACACAGGGAAAGAAACAGGCACACTCAGAAGGACAATGGGGAAACTACATTCTGCTTCATTCTGCTTCAGTCTCATACTATGTGTTCACATAATCTGCTGCATGGAAACTGTAACACTTTACATTTTATCAGTATTATTTTTAATCAGAATTACATTGATTTATCAGCATTGCTGGTGCCAAAATATAAGAGTTGTGAATTCAGTGTACCAAACTACACCTAGCAGAAGTAAACAGCTTGTTAAGGCAGTTTTTTAGGATGGCAGTTTAAACTTTTAACATTTCCCAAATGTCTCTTCCTGACAGCTCAGTATTACTTGTAGTCATCATCCAGTACCTGATCCAACTAATCAGTGCTTAAATCAGGAGAGCTGGTGATGGAATTGAACAAATCCATGAAATGACTGGGAGCATCAGGAGAAATTTGGAACCAAACTCCGTACTAGCTCCGTACTAGCTCACAATGTTTTCTGCCCTCTGCCCAATGATTCTGGGATGGGCTCCAGCTTCTAATATATATATATATATATATATATATATATATATATATATATATATATATATATATATATATTTGATGTGCAAAATTGTCAGTAATAAAAAACCACAAATAACAGTTATACTTAAAATATATAGTAAAGCAGGCATGTCAAACTGGGGATCTTCTGGGTCAATGTGCTGTGCAGATTACTGTTGACCCTCATCTAATGCTCTGAATTCAGTTCATGAAGGTCTTGCTAATTACCTCATGATCTGAATCTGGTGTGTTTAATGAGGCAGTCTGCTGAAGTCTGCAGCGTTTAGGCCCATGAGGACTGGAGCCTGACACATGTGTAGTACAGGATGTGTACTGATTACTTGTGTACCAATTTTCACTTAGAAAATCTACAGAACATGTTATTAAATTTTATATTCATATTCATCTTGAATGTGCTTTTTTCCCATTAAAAATATTACATAACATTAGAATGAATACAAAGAAACATAATGAATGTAAAGAATGTTGATATGTTAGCTTTACATGCCATTTGCTGTGATGCTTAAGACTTTTGCAGTATTTTACGTAAGCTACTTTTAAAAATGAAAAAAAAAATATATACATACTGTAATGAACTGGGTTCTCAGAAGAAACTCTGAGAATCTGAGACTCTGAAACCACGGTCTGATGTCTATAACTCAGCAACAGTATACAAGACAAGAGGGGAAAAATTATGCTAAGGCTCTTTATTGCCCCTAGATTGACTGTTAGCCTAGCTTTATCCCTCCTTTGTTTACAACTAGGCTATGTGAAGTTTCTGTCAACAAACCCCCAACAGAAATATAGCCCCTGCCCTTCAAGTTAAGAGTCCAACAAAAGAAAGGCATACGAGGGGGTTACTAAGCACTAAATTAACTCAAGCATTGCATTAGGACCTTTTAGAACAGGATATTTTTTAAAATTGAATAAAACAGGTGTGACTGACACCACACTGCACCCCCTTTGTTCAACAGCAGAGACCCTGCTGCTTACTAGTCCCACCAGACTGAAGCTTTGAAACTTCTATGAGTCCGTCACCTCCTGTTTGAGGGCACCTGGCATGACGGGGTACCTGACGTCCCCATGGGCTTAGCCTCTGGGCTGTCCACTGCGGCCACTGGGGCTATGTGGTCATCCTGGGTCACAAATGCTGCTGGAGCTTTACCAGCCAATGAGTCATTTAAGGCCTAACAAGCTACATAAGGGACATTACAACTGGAAGGGTGTCCAAAAATTTGCACATGCTACAAGTACTATTTTAATTTTACAGTAACCTAGCCCACATATCCATGTGGGCCCCACATGGGCTAATAATGGGCTGCCAATCGGGCCCTCTTCGGGCAGTTTAGTTGGGGCCCACAAAGATTTGTCCAGTTGTTCCATATGGGCCCTTTGCTTGTAAGCCCATTGAGGCTAATGATTGGGCCAGGGTGAGCTACAAATGTGGCTTTCACGAGTAATATGGGCAGTAAACCTTGACCCCAAGTAGGTTTCTTTTGATATTTTAAATGGCTCCAAGCCCTTTCAGTTACAATGTCTAACTGTCAACAGGCATCACGTTTCCATCACAAAATGATCCAACACAGAATGCCATGTCAGTGTTTTTCATTAGAGTAAGCAGCTACAAATACATGGATATCACTTTATAAGCAAACTGCAATCATTCTAATTTCTACTAACAACCTTGTGTTTCAATGATATGTTAGCAACTAGCTAATAGTAGTTTACAGTAAATACCCACACTAGGCTAACTGCTACCTTTGACAACTGTAGCTTTAAAATAGGTATTTAATGTTGTGTGTGTGTGTGTGTGTGTGTGTGTGTGTGTGTGTGTGTGTGTGTGGTGTAGGACTCCAACAGTGTGTATACTTTCAGTTTCAGTCCTACCAGTGAGGTGCTAGGTATGTATTACTTGTTAAGTCCTGATGTAACTTTAAACATTGTGCTGTAGGCTTTGTAAAATTCGGAGTAAATACTGCTGCCTAATATTAAGTTTTCCTTTGACGAGATACTGTTTTGTCCATATATCAGAACAGTAAAGTGGTCAATGATTAAATAAGGTAAAATACACAAAGTTAAAAAATAACCATTAAATACCATTGATGTGCATTACCAGCGGCATCTACTGTGCAGTTTTCACAAGTCCCGATGTAGCTTCAGTTGTCTGCATGCAGTTGTCTTTTTGTTTTTTAATAGGTGATCACCACTGCTTACTGCAAGATCATCCAAATTCACAGAAGTAAGAAGAAAGGGGTTTCATGGTCTGATGTCTTTAGATGACTCCAGTGACTCTTTTATGGGCAAGTACAGAGAAGAAATGAGGCTGTAGAACCTCTTGGAAGGTAGAATAGCAATTTAAAATTTAATTTATCTGAGTTATTTACACATTTACGAATTACCCTTTTCCTAAGAGTGTAGCATATGCAAATATACAATGCACAGATGTTATCTAGACCCACCTGATGACATGTATGTTTGATCTGAAGGCTTAGGCTTATGTGCTTGAAATGTATTTCTAAGGCAAACATAAATATGTCATTTTTAAAGATATTTTTTAAATGCCCCCCCCAAAAAAAAAGACAAATAACGGTCAACGAGGTCTGCTCAAAATGCATTCATTATGTGCTAATTTAATTCAGAATGGACTAACAGAAACGCTCCAAAATTAAAACCTCTTTATTAACTTACATTAAAAATTAAGAACTTCTTCAAGCCTGTTGGAAAAGTGTAGTTGTTGCGCTGTTATGCTAAAATGCTAAATCTGATATCAGCACAATGATGCAAAAGAATTAAATTTCAGTATCTGTAGCACAAACAGGTTTTGTTTTCATCTTGAAGATTTAAGTGAGACAAATATATTAATGCGTCAGAGAAAGCACTCATATAGAGGTTAGCAAAAGCTTCTTATGATGTTTTGCTGCATATTAAGACTCCCAGATAAGGTGACTCCCTCCATTCTGTTTGACCACCTTCTGCATCATCTTCAAGAGATCAGCATGACTATATCCTCTCTTTAAGTCAATGTGACTGTTGCTGTACTTAGCGATGGTCTCCTTTATCATTTTCTCCTGAACAGTGTTAGAAATTCGGCAAGAAGAGTCAGGAGACTGGAGCTTCAGTGTTGACTGGAGTTTATTTCCACATACAGAGTAGGGGTACAGCATGGTCGATTAGCAGTTAATCAGCAGGATCAGGAGTCTAGTCTTATTCACGTGCAGACAATCATGCACGGGCACAACTTGGTTATCAGTGTGTCACCAGTCTGGTCTGGTCACCAGTCTAGTCTAGTCCAGTCTGCGGTCCAGTCTGGAGTCCAGTCTGATGAATACATGGTCTGACATGGTTTAAGTAGAGATACTGGGGGTCGGGGGAGGAAGCAAAGAGGGAGGGGAAATAGGTGACAATCAAAAGGTTGGGGAAGAAGGGGAAGGGGGTCTGGGGTCAGGGAAGACCCCAGGGGTAAGGTGAGGTTGTTCTCACCTCAGGGGGAACAATACAGATAAACACCAAAAGGCACACAACTGTAAGACAATACAGCTAACACAACAAAAAGACAACATGGGTTAGAGCATAGAAGTTAAGCAAACGTGAAAAGACCTATACTTTCTCTCAACTTCAATTCGGCTTGCTGTAGTAAACTGTATTAATGACAAGCTCTTTAAGGCATTTGGCTCACCATTTTGGTCCCAACAGAAAAAAAATCTACAGATTTCTTAATTTTATTTGTGCAAAAGATTCATTTTAAATCATGGCCCCCAGAGTAAAGAAACCAATGACTATCATGTGACAAATGTTTTAAACTTTAATACAATTCAAATTCTACTTGTAGTAAGTTGCAATAATAGGGCACATATTAAACATTATATATTTTATTTATTTTATATATATAAAAAATTAGGCCTTACACTAAAGAGACTATGGATTTTTTGGTATTGATGTTTTAAACACTAATTAAAACTGGAGCTGTTTTTTTAAGTATTTTGT